TTTTTTTTTTTTTTTAAATGACTTCCTCTACTAAAAAAAGGAAATAAATAAAAACAAAACTCCAAACGGCTTTCTCCCTACAAACACCAGGGAGACACGGCATCAGATGATCTCCTGGAAGGGAGTACTATTTCAAGGGAGTGCTGACTGCCCCAGGGTTGGCGAACGGCTACGTGGGCAGGGGAGCGTCTTATCTAGGCTGGAGCTGATCCAGGCTGGTGGCTCTGCTCCGAGGCCGCACCCACATGGCCAAGCTCCCACGGTCCCAGACTGCAATGTGGCTCCCACACTGGGGGTGCCCTGACTGCTCCAAGCTGCCCCTGGGCTGCTCACCACAGAGCCCTGCAGCCTGGGACATCTGAAAGCACAGCCCGGGCTCAGCACGGGGTTCCTGGAGTCCTAGGAAACCCCAGCGCTCATGGCAGCAATGCTGCAGTGAGGCGCAGGCACCTCGGTATCCAGAGGGTTCAAATGAAAGGAAGGTTGGGGAGCCGCTGGCTACTGCCTATCAGAGGCCAAGTCACCTCAATTCCCAGTTGAGGCTGAAAAGTTACCCCACCCTCTCCTACATAGCCCCCAATTCCCCCTGGACTCCATGGCCCTCCCAGCATCCACCTTCCTGTTCTTAGGCTCCTTCCGGTCCTCTCCCTGCCCGTTCCCTAGGCCCCACCTGCCCCTGGCTCCCAACCACTTCTGCCGTTTCTAGTCCCTACCCCATTATCTCTACCCTCTGTCTCTGGCTCCTGGCCCCTGTCACCCAGGATAGAGGCTCTCAGAGCCTACAGCAGCTCCTGTCCCCAGTGTTTTCACATCCACACCTTCCCGCCCCCCACAAGCCTCTCTTCGTAGCAGCCACAGCTGGGCTGTGGCTTGGCAACATCTCAGCTCCCCTTTGTTCCTGCTGACTCTGACCACTGTCTCCCCAGGGTGACATTCCTGCTGAGCAAACGTGCCCAGGATCTGCTGCCCTCTATCCCAAAAAGTTCTAGGTCATGCCCACCTTGCGCCCCATCCACTCTCTGGCCTCCACCAAGAATCTGTTGAGCCATGTGGCCAGTGGGGGCCACCCTCCTGGATGCCTCTAAGATCAGCAGTGATTCCACCCATCCCTACCTTCCTGCCTCTCCCAGCAGCTCCAGTTCCCTCCTCAGTTCTGCATGAACACACAGCCACTCACTATATCCTCAATGCACGGCACTGACCACCCCACCAGCCTGGGCAGACAGTCTCTTAGCCGCTGTGCACACTGTGCAGAGAGGGTTCGTAGGAGAGGAAGGAGATGTGCATGGCTCCTCCCACCTAAGCCTGTGATCTCCAACACGACTCGACTTACAAATGTGCCTTCAGGCACTGGTGAATTTGGTGTCAGCCCTCCCATCCCGAAGGACATCTCAGTAACCCCCCA